TCTTCCGTACGAAGAGAACTGGCGCTCCATATGGGACCTGTCTCTTATACACATCTAGATGTGTATACTATACCACCCCTATACCGCCCTATACTCCAACCCCAACCCCCCATATACCCCCCCATCCCCAAGATTTTCTCAGCGGATTTGCGCTGTACTCAGCAAGCGCAGTACAGCCCCCGACTCAGATTTGAAAAAAAATCAGTGGAATTTTTACTGGTCAGCAGACCGCCAACCGGTCGGCCCAACTGGTCGGCTGCAATACGGTCGGTGGTCGGGGTCGGCGGTCGGCAGGGATGCAACCCTGGTCATGATGATTATCGGTTATCGAACTTCTCTTATGACAGGTATGTTGACAGTTTAAGCCTCCTGAAGTATCATGAAACTGAGGGCCTTGACCCTGTAGGCATTGTAATCGGGCCATGAATGTCAGCTCTGATGATGCTGACAGAGAATTCAACCTGAGAATTTTTTATTGGGTGTGTCCCGACCAGCCGCAGGAGGACCTGAGCAGCCACTTCCACCTGGCCTGATGCTCCCACATTGCCACGGGCTACAGGGCACAACTCATCCCAGAGAGCGACAGTAGGAAGAAGAAGACAAAGACGCAGAGGAACGGGTGGGACTTAGAGAATACCGAGGGACCATCAGGACCTGTCCCCACTCCCATGATACCAAAAAAACACCCCATGGTCCCCGCCCACAAGCCTCTTCTTGTTCAAGGGTCGCTCAGGGCCTTGCAAGGGACCCTCTCAACCATGCCACACTGATCGGGTCTCAGTCACAGAGACATGGCCCGTCGGTCCAGGTGGTACCTAACCCGATGTCCACCCAAGGGCACGTGAACAAGGGGTATGCGAGTAAGCGCCTTCCACACACGTCCTTCAAAGAGTACCGCTCCAATAAGCACCTTTCCGGCCATGTCCTTCTATAGTGCACCGTTTTCATCCACGCCCTGTGGCGTGCACAAATCTGAAGCACCTTTCCAGCCATGCCCTTCTGCAGTGTACCGTTTTTCATCCATGCCCTTCAGACTCAGACTGCGCCATTTTTTTCCTTCTTTTTATAGACGCCCAGGTTGTTGTAGAAGTCGGAGTCAGACTTTGGAAGATCCCCCAAGCCGATCCCCCATCGAATGGGTGTGAATGACCAGCCACCCTTGTACCATTTAAACGAGCACCTTTTCACCCATGCCCTTCCTAGTATACAATGGGAATAACCATCTTTCGTTCATGCCAACCCTCTCAACTGTCACAATTTTCCACCCATGCCGTTCACACTGCAGTGCCTGAAGAAGACCACCTTTCTCGCACGTGCCCTTCGGAGTGCCTCTTAAAATATGCCTCTTTGCACTCAACCCCTCCACGGAGCACAGTCTTTTCCTTTTTTCTTCTAATAACATCTGCCCACTCATGTCCTTCACAGCACAGACACATCCTTTTCATCTCCCGGTTTCTGTGCCCCCTGCCAAGACAGACTGCCCAGAAATGAGAGACGCTATGCAGTTGATGACGGACATGACAAACATGAGAGGAGGCGTCACATACTTACATCTGTTCGTGGCAGCTTTCCAGCAGCTTTATGTAGGATTTCATCACGATCACAACGAAGTTGTACTGTTGGGCATGCAGCTCTTTCTTCCCTCGTTGCTCCAACCAATTGACAATCTGGGAACCAAAAAAAGAAAAGCACGGCAAGGCACAATACGTCATTTGACCGCCGGGGCGGAAAACATATTGTTCCACTGAACAATTCTTCCGGGCGCGCAAACAGCGCCTGGGGACTATGGACTTCGCTCCATTACTCACCACATGCACAAAAGATGAAAAATATGCGGGTGTACCTTTCCGTGTTCTGGTGGAAGATTCGTTCTCATTTTGCACATTTGGTGAGTAGTGGAGCGAGGCACTATGAGACTGCTGGATCCCAATGAAGAAAACATCAAAATCTCATTGAACTCGACATAAATCAAATACACTTTTCTCCTACTTCGTTGAATTCCTAACATGCAAACATTTAAGCCACCAGTACTTCAACCACTACTACCTCCGCCCGTCGGGAAAATAGGGAGGCCTCGGGTGGGCCTCCGATCTTTTACGAGGCCAAATCGAAATGACGGCCGCTGATGAGATTTATCAATGGCGGCCGGGGTCGAGCCCAGCCCCTGACATTTTACGAGTTATTTGAACTTATTTCCCAACATTGGCGGAGGTGCTTTAAGAGGCTTCCTTTGCAAAAGTGGATTCCCCCTGTGCGGCAAGAAAAAACGAAACGGCACGTTTTCTTTTTTGGTTGGTGCCGCCAGCCATTTAGCTCCAGTAGGCCGTGCCACAAAAGTCGCGTCCCCTGCACGACCGCAGCGGAGATGCAAACATTTAAACCACCAGTACTTAGAGGCTTCCTTTTGCCAAAGCGGATTCCCCCCTGTGCGCCAAGAAAAAACGAAACGGCGAAAAAACGAAATGGCACGTTTTCCTTTTTGCCTGGCGCCACCAGCCATTTAGCTCCAGTAGGCCATGCACCAGAAGTCGCGGCACGTGCACCGCCGCGTCGGACAAAAATGACTGGGAAAAGTATGGGTGGTTAAAAGGAATGCTCTTGGTAACAAACACTTCCAAAAAGATGGTAGAATATAGCATAACAAATTTTGATTGGCAAGAAAGCCTACTGCCCCCAAAAACAAGCCAACATGCAAAAAAAACATGAGCTCGCAGTCTCACACCAATGAACAGTATGCACAATCTGATCCCACAACTGGGTCGTTTGTAACTTGCTGCATTACTGACTCTCTTCGTCAAGTGGCCTTGCAAAAGGACGGTATTCACACCGGACTTCTTTGGATCTATACTCGCATAAGATGTGCGTCCCGCAAAATCCTGGTTCAGGCCTACAGGAGGGAAACGGCTGGTGGCGCCTGGCAAGATCTCGCTCGCAACGGTCCAGTTTGTGGGGGTATGGGGCAGCACACACATCAGGAAAAAGGAGTCTCCCATGGACTGGTGGTTCAAAACCCTCTGGGGCTTTTTTTTTTTTTTTTTCCCTTATTATGTTCTAAAAGCGGGCCACACAGCACAGCATGCTATTCCGAAAAGACCCCCACCCTCCCCCCCGGCCCCCAACGCACACAAACACACACACACACACGCACACACGAGCATTGCTGCAGAAGTGCGGTCAGGATCATGACCGACTAGCACAGCAGAGCAAGCAGAGTTGGGGATGTTTGATACCCGACGACATTCTAACTAGCTCAGTTTGTTCCACCAGGCACACTCTACTTTTTATACCCTGATTTAAATGTGAATCAGCCCGCACTGGTTGTATGTCTTCTATCCCAAGTAGGCATGAAGCTAACTGCGCAGGTTCATATTCATTAGCACAAACCTAGCCGCTGGAGGCTGGGGCTTGAACTCTTCACCTGTGTGTGGCGCCCACCCTCACTGCGCTCCACAGTCTTCCACGCTCATGCCTTCATCCTCCTACTACTAGAATGACCAAGGTACTCCAAACTGGAGGTGGGGTCAAGCCAGCCCAGGCAATTGAATCAACAGAAGGTCATAGCTTGGCAGCCCCATCTGCGGTAAATTTCGCGCACCCGTTATATCCTCAGACGCAGACCTGCCGACCCGTGCACACTGCCAAATGTCCAACCCAGAGGTCCCCGGACAGCCCCTGATGTAAAACGTTATTTTTGGAAAAGCATTTAGCTGGGCCTCTTTGCTGCCAATAAGCTAACGGGTGGAGAGCTCACTCAGGCCATTTCCCTTTCTAAGTTTCTACTAACTTTCTAGTGCACGTACGGAGCACTGCTCACATAACCACTCTTTCCAAGCTTTACCTAGTTCGGGGGATAAATGCGTATAGTAGCCGTATACCTGCTTTTTGCATTATGGTGGATAGTACTGGATACAGGATAGAATTCCGATAAATGCATAACCACTCTTTCCAAGCTTTATCTAGAGTAGGGGAGGAACTTTAGGGTATAAAATTATATTATTATAATTTATAAACGCATATACCTGTTTTTTGCATTATGATGGATAATGGATAAATGCATACGGCCTCGCTCCACTGCACAACACCCAGTACATATATTTGGCCAAATTGGCCTGAAATATGGACCAGAAACATCCGGACCGGTCCAACATCTTGAATGTGTGCGGCCCTATTCAGGTCCAAATACATTTTGAATGTTGTGCAGTGGATTGAGGCCCATATACCTGCTGGCATTACGGTGCATAAGGGACAAATGCATGTACCTGGTGGCTTTATGGTTGATAATGCACCATAATATCTTCTATTGTCACCGGCATTTGCCCAAGCAGTACCGTGTATTAGCAATACCGTGCATTCCCCACCAAAAACGAAGTCGCAGGCAGGGCAGCCGGCCAGGCTGGCAGAGCACTTGTGCCTCGTTACTTCATGCTGCTACTACTGCGGAGCCACAAGCAGCAAGCAATGTGAGGCCGCAACGGCCTCCCAGGCGTGGCCAGTGCAGGTTGGCACTAAGCAAATGGCTGCGAAGCGAAGGGCCCAGCCAGTTCCAGAATTGCCAGGCGGGGCGGCCAAGTCCGGATCGGGACTCAACAACCAGTGTCCTGGTAGGCCACAGCCACAACTGGAAGACAGTGCCTACCGGCTCATCTGTATCCCAGCCAGCCCGGAGATAAGGGAAGCGGACGGCCTGCTCGAGCGCACACAGGTGTAGCTGAGACCGAGAGAGGAAGGAGGCAGTGTCAGCCATAGCTGGGCTGCTTGGGCGCACACGTATGCAGGGAAGCGTTGCTAGCAGCAGCGCCCTTCGCGTCAGCAATAGCCGGGCACCTGACATAGAGGTGGTCCAAGGAGGGGAGCTCCTTGGAGGAACTGGAAGCTCTTAGAGAGAGAGAGAGAGAGAGAGAGAGAGAGAGAGAGAGAGAGAGAGAGAGAGAGAGAGAGAGAGAGAGAGAGANGAGAGAGAGAGAGAGAGAGAGAGAGAGAGAGAGAGAGAGAGAGAGAGAGAGAGAGAGAGAGAGAGAGAGAGAGAAAGAAAGAAAGAGAGAGAGAAGAGAGGTTGCTGTGGGCCGTACCCGGACGCCGCCAAGGAGAGCTCCATCCTGTTACATTCTTTGTTCAGGGATGTGCAGGAGCAGCATTGTACATTGGCATAGTGTAGGCTGACGTAGTCCGTAAAGTAGATGGTCACATAGGCACATAAGGAGACCAGCGGGTGCAAGGAACTATTTTTGTTGTTCTATTGCTTGTTGGGAGGCCAGAAGAGGGCTTTTTCTCCCCTTTTTCTTTTTTTTAACAACACTCACACAAGCCCAATATATTCTGAGGGGCAGCAGTTCGGTTTCTTATTATCGGCAAACATCAGAAAACAGATTACGACGCGCAAAAAGAAAGGGATAGAACAGGGCTTTTCTTTTTTTTTTTTTTTTTTTTTTTTTTTCCTGAACGTGCAGGGTTCGTCATCAAGCTCGTGTGATCATTGTTGTTTTTTTTTTTTTTTGAAAAAAAGGAGGCGACGGTCTTGACATATCATCATTGAGCTGACCGGCCCCAGGCAATTCAGAAATTACGAAATATTTGGGTTTACTCGTCAAGTTCCGTCATCTAGGTTCGAACACGGGTCTGCATTTCAACAGTTCAATGGTGTACCGTCTGAGCTAGGCTCTTGGGTTTACTCGTCAAGTTCCGTCATCATTGATTTGTCATTTGACTTATTTCTGCTAATAAAGCCTGATGGCCATATGTAAGCTGGTCGCAGGAGTTCATTGTGCTTGTAAATTGAGTTTCTCCGGTGTGGTTTCCTGACACCAGTTGCAATCAGCAGAAAAAAAAGAAGAAGAAGACACCCAAAAACAGAGCCCGGAGTCGAGATCTCACCCAGGCTATTTTGATTTTAGGAAAAAAATGGCGGTGCACCCATCATTCAGTAGTGCATCCATCACTTAGCAGTGTGCCTATCATTCTTTTGTGCCAGTACCTCGATCCAATAGCTTCAAGGCTGGGCCCCGCTTGCTGCAGTGAAGAAATACTGGCCCTGGGTTGGGAAATGTAAGGACAGTGGTCTACAGTTGGTCATTTCTGTCGCTGGACTTTACCCCAACACCTGAACCAAAGCCGGGTAATGGTCCCAGCACTTTCTTCCGGGTCCTTTGTGGAGGGATTCCCGGCCTCCTTTTGTATTTGTAATAAAATCGTGTTTGATTTGTAAAAGAAAAAGGAAAGGAAAGAATATAAATATTGGCAATCGACCCTCATCATTATTATTTACAGACAGGATATCTCTACATCCGTGCAAGTGGGACCTCGTCTCTGGAGTCATGCAGCAATGTCATTAACCTCATCATTATTATTTACAGACAGAATATCTCTACATCCGTGCAAGTGGGACCTCGTCTCTGGAGCCATGCAGCAATGTCATTAACACACACTTCGAACAGAGCACATGGCACCCATACTACCGTCGTCACCCGGAGCCATGCAGCAATGTCATTAACACACACACACACTTCGAACAGCCATGCAGACGGCCTGGATCGCGGGCCATGCAGCAATGTATTCCGGCTTAGAAGTGGGACCTCCTCCTCCTACTACATCACTGTCTTCCGCCAAATACAGCTATAATGATCGGGCATTCAATTTGGGTGAAGACGGTACTCATGGCCAGGAAACTTTT